CTACGGAAAAACCAGTTCAAATGGCACCTCCACAGGGAGCCTTCCTGTGTCCTCCCTAAGGCTGCGCCGAGCCTTCATTCATTTTCACTCTGTGGCCCTATGTTTGGACCTCTTGGATAATGCCCACCTTTCTCTCTCACTTCTTATCTGCTTCCTATCCCAGCCAGCCTGCAGGGATGTCACCCTTCCTCTCCTCTCCCAGGTTCTGAAGGCCAAGCTGAGACTGCCAGCCTGGCCACGGCTGACTTCCTGTCTTGCTGTGATGTTCTGTGGCTAAGGCAAACTGGGAGTGAGCCGCTGGATGCCAAACACGGGCTGGTCCCTGCCTAGGTGACACCTTGGCAGAGCTGGGAAGGGTCTCACAGATCAACTGGACTGCCCCCCTGTTATACATGGAGAAACCGAGGCCCAGCGAGGCGAAGAAGCTTGCCCAGTGTTGCACAGTCGATCAGAGGGGGAAGCCAAGGCCCCTGTTCTTCTCAGGCTCTTGACTCCCTCCTCTGCCTTCACATCCCCATTTCTTACTCACCTTCAGGCTCTCTGGATCCATTTCCTTGGCTCACTGGAGGATGTTTCAGAGGGTTTGAGACCAGGGACCTTTTCTCTCTGGAGCCAGGGGGACACAGTTCAAAGAAGGAAGCCCAAGCCTCCTAAACATAGAGAATCCTGGTGGACGGGACATGGAGTTTCACACCAGCCCAGCTTTCCAAACTCTGAAAACATGCCTGAACTTTCATAGAATTCAGCAAAGGGTTTGCAACTCGATAGAATTAAACGGAACTTTTGGAATTTGGCAGAATTACACAAACTGCTTAGAATTCAGTGGGTTTCTTGGCAATGTGTCAGGTTTGGTAAAATTAGGAAACGGAGAGGCCAGTAGGTTACTGTGGGCAGCCAGGGACCCCCTGACCTGGTAGCGCCCAGCTCCATCTCAGCCGACAGCTTCCGGGGAGCAGGCAGGCCATATGGAGGTGGCACCTTTCAAAGCACTCTGTGCACCAAGGGACTGTGTGATCCCTGAGGAAATTTAGAGGGAAGAGAGGAAATGTGCCCAGCTTAGAAACTTTGGGGTGCCTCAGGGATAATGTCCCAAAGACCCAATTACAAAGAATCTATTTAGAAATCTTAATTGGTGTGGAAAAGTCAGAGAAAGTGGCTAAGGGACAGGAACCATCCTCTTAGGCCAGGCCCCAGCCAGTGCTGACCCAGGAATGTTTACAGAATGAATATGTGAATGGATGATGAGCAATTAAATGAACACATAAGCAATTCTCAATGAATAAATAAATGTAAAAATAAATGAATGAGTGAGTGAACAAATGATAGGCAGACTTGCTTTCCAGGTGAGGAGCTAGAGGTCTTGGCTCAACTCTCACAGGGATCTTACAAAAGTGCAAAATCTAGGAAAGTGAATAGGGGAGTGAACTGAACTGGATGAAGAAGCACAGCAGAATTACAGACTATCAGAGCAGGAAAGTGCTTAAAGGCCATCATAACCCATGCTCACTGTCCAGGGGGAGAACTGCCCTAGAGGGGTGAAGGGGTTAGCTCAGCACCACCTAGTGAGGCAGGAGCATGGCCCTGGGTTAACTCTGACACTGACTTGTCCACCCTTGAATCCTATCTCCCTCAGTCAATGCAAAGCCTGTCTGCCCAGGCAGCCAGTGACTGGGTTCCTCCAGTTGGTCCCTCTTCCCTGTGCTCAGAGCATCCATCTTGATGGTTCCTCCATGAGGTTCTCGACAGTTTTCAGAGTCCATGTCTCTGCAGGTTTAACGGTCTCTTTATTTACTTATTTATTTATATTTATTATTATTATTTTTTTTGAGACAGAGTCTCCCTCTGTTGCCCAGGCTGGAGTACAGTGGCATATTCTTAGCTCACTACAGCGTCCGCCTCCCGGGTTCAAGCGATTCTCCTGCCTCAGCCTCCCGAGTAGCTAGGACCACAGGCATGCGGGCATGCGCCACCACACCTGGCTAACTTTTGTATTTTTAGTGGAGACAGAGTTTCACCTGTTGGCCAGGCTGGTCTCGAACTCCTGACCTCAAGTTATCTTCCCGCCTTGGCCTCCCAAAGTGCTGGGATTACAGGTGTCAGCCACTGCGCCCAGCCAAAGGGCGCTTTAAAAATTAGGGTCATTTTATTCTGGAACTAGGTATTGTTGTTAGATTTTTATTTCACTATTTTAAAAGTAAAAGGAAGTTTATTAGAATTTTATTTATTTACACAAAATAAATTTACACTTTCACTTTTCCAAAAGTAACTATTGTTATTAGTTTTGTGTATATCTATCCAGATACTTTTCTGATCATTTGCGTATGTATATCTATACATAGAAATAGGTCTTGTGATTATATATGTATATCTATACATATAAATAATCTTGTGACTTTTTAGTATGCTTTTTTGTTGCAGGTTTATTGAAGGATGATTGATGTACAACTACATTTAAATAATGTAATTTGATTAGTTTTAATGTATACAGTCATGAAACTATGACCACAATCAAGATAATGAACTTATGTAATATACCCACAATTTTTCTCATGCTCCTTGGTAATCCATTCCTTTCTTCCCCAACCAGGCAACCACTGATTTGCTCTCTGTAACTGCAGATTACTTTCCTTTTCTAGCATTTTACGTAAAGGGAATTATGCAGAATGTACTCTTTAAAATCTGGCTTCTTTCACTCAGCGTGATTATTTTGAGAGTCATCCATGTTGTGCGAATCAATGGTTAGTTCTTTTTAAAAATAGCATCTTTATTGAGCTATAATTCAAACACCATGCAGCCGCCCATTTAAATTCCGCCGTTTAAAATGTACAATTCAAATACAAAACTGTTGCATTGTACACTTTAAATGGGGGAGTTTAAAGTGTACAACGGGCGAATTTAAAATGTACAATGCAATAGTTTTGAGTATCACCACAGTTGATTTCAGAACATGTTTATCACTTTCAAAAGAAAGCCCATACTGTTTAGCAGTCACTACTCTCTTCCCCTCAACCTCCTCCAGTCTTAGGAAATCTACTTTTTGTCTCTATTGAGCTGCCTATTCTGGACATTTTATATAAATGAAATTATAAAATATGTTTCCCTTTGTGACTGGTTTCTCTTACTTAACTTAATGTTTTCAAGGTTCATCTATATTGTAGCATGTATCAGGACTTAATTTCTTTTTATTGCTAAGTAATATTCAATTGTATGGATAGACTACATTTCATCTGCCCATTCATCAGTTGATAGACATTGGGTTGATTCCACTTTTTGACTATTATGAATAGTGCTGCTACGAACATTTGTGTACAAGTTTTTGTGTGGATGTATATTTTCGTTTTTCTTGGATATTTTCTTTTTTTTTTTTGAGAGTCGCCCAGGCTGGAGTGCAGTGGCGCGATTTCGACTCACTGCAAGCTCCACCTCCCGGGTTCATGCCATTCTCCTGCCTCAGCCTCCTGAGTAGCTGGGACTACAGGCACCCACCACCGCGCCCGGCTAATTTTCACCGTGGTCTCGATCTCCTGACCTTGTGATCCCCCGCCTCGGCCTCCCAGAGTGCTGGGATTACAGGCGTGAGCCACTGCGCCCGGCCTTTCTTGAATATTTTCTTAGGAGTGGAATTTCTGGGTCATATAGAAACTCTATGTGTAGATTTTTGGGGAACTGCCATTTTCCAAAATGGAAAGTATCATTTTACTTTCCCATTTTACATTTCCCCAATACATGAGGGTTCCAATTTCTCCACATCCTCACCAACAATTGTTATTATCTGCTTTTTAAATTATAGCAGTCTTGGCCGGATGTGGTGGCTCACGCCTGTAATCCCAGCACTTTGGGAGGCTGAGGTGGGCAGATCACTTGAGACCAGGAGTTCAAGACCAGCCTGGGCAACATGGTGAAACCTCGTCTCTACAAAAAATACAAAAATTAGCCGGGTGTGGTGGCATGTGCCTGTAGTCCCCACTACTTGGGAGACTGAGGCAGGAGAATAGCTTGAGCCCAGAAGGTTGAGGGCTGCAGTGAGCCATGTTCATACCACCCTACTCCAGCCTGGGTGACAGAGTGAGACCCTGTCTCAAAAAAAAAAAATTTATATATGTATAGCCATCATAGTAAGAGTGAAGTGGTATCTAATTGTGATTTTGATTTGCATTTCTCTAATGGCTAATGATGTTGAACATATTTTCAAGTGTTTATTGGCTATTTGTATATCTTCTTTGGAGCAATGTATATTCAGCTCTTTAGCCTATTTTAATTTTAATTTTTAATTTTAATTTTTTTTCTTTGAGATGGGGTTTTGCTCTGATACCCAGGTTAGGGTGCAGTAGTGTGATCTGGGCTCACTGCAACCTCTGCCTTTTGGGCTCAAGTGATCCCTCCACCTCAGCCTCCCGAATAGCTGGGATCAGAAGCACACACCATCATACCCAGGTAATTTTTTTGTATTTTGGGTAGAGATGGGGGTTTCACCATATTGGTCAGGCTGGTCTCGAACTTCTGATCTCAAATGATCCAACTGCCTTGGCCTCCCAAAATGCTAGGATTACTGGTGTGAGCCAACGCACCTGGCCTAATTATATACTTAAATTTTACTTTACATACGTAAGATCACAGTTAAGGAGGTTAACTATAATTTCAAATTTTATCACCAGCCACTTGTGCTATTTTATCACATTTGAAAATATTCACTCTTACTATTTAAACAGTGATCTATAAATTTGTTTAGACAATAATAATTAAGGACCTTTTCTTCTTCAGGATGATAAAAAAATTAATGATGTATTGAAGATACTACTAAAGAAACTTTACTTTTGGATTATGGCCTCTGCACTGAAGATCTGTAGGATTTTTTAAAATTAATTTTCAAATCTTTCCATGACCTCTCTGTTCTAAGAAATATCATCTTTGTAATAATTTGTGTGAATACTTTTTAAATCAAAAATTGATTCACAAGACTATATTACCATAATCACTAATTTTAAGTCTCTTAAATATTTTCTATATTTCTTTTCTTGATCATAAAATGTCAATAATATGGATATGCTCTTAATATAACAAAATATTTAATTATCTCAGTTTCCCATCAACCCACCAGTCATTTATTAATTACATTGGCCATTTCCATTGATTGGCAGGCGGCTCCTCCATGAACATCTCCCATGGTTTCCACTGCATCATTTTTCTTGCCAGACTTAGTTCATTTTCAACCTGAAGAATCACCTCTTTTATTTGAACACCTTGAAGTTGGTCTTCTGATTGTTTAACGTCTGGTTCTGCTTTAACCATAGCCAGCTTCTCATTTGCAATCTGTTCTGTATACTTTCTATATGCTGCTTTTTTAGGGGTTCGCTTAAGAACATCAGGGATCTTTGTGTACAATATTCTTAGCCTCTTACATTTTAGCAGACTGATTTTAGCTGCTTGTCTTGTGTGGACTCTTGCATACAGCCAATCCCACAAGGCCAGTGGTCTTCTTCAGCACACCTGCCATGACCGTGCCGATGAGCCAATTGGATCTTCTTTAATTTCTTTCAACAATATTTTGTAATTTTTAGAGTATACATTTTCTCCAATAATATAATTATATATATAATGTTTTATATAATTTCTTTAAAAAATAGGAGAAGAAATAAGAAATATGCACTTAAAACTGCCTTTTATAATCATATAGTTATCTTTATCAGTGCTCTTTGTTCTATCACGTGGATTTGAATTTCCATCTGTATTTGCTTGCTTTCAGCCTAGAGGATTTCTTTTAGTATTTCTTGTAAAGTGGGTCTGCTAGCAATGAATTCTCTTAGTTTTTGTTTATGTAGGTATGTCTTTATTTTGCCATAGTTTTTGAAAGATAGTTTTTCTGTTTTTAATATTTTTGGTTGGCAGGCTTTTCTTTCAGTACTTTGAATATGTCAGCCTGCTGTCTTTTGGCTTCCACTGTTTCTGATAGGAAGTCAGCTGCTAATCTTATTATCATTCCCTTGTATGTGATGAGTTATTTGTCTCTTACTGCTGTCAATGTTTTCTCTTTGTCTTTCAAGCACTTTTACTATTATATGTCTGGGGTGGGTTTCTTTGAGTTTGTGGAGTTTCTTGGATGTGTAATGTTTTTCAACAAATTTGGGAAGTTTTCAATGTGTAATGTTTTTCAACAAATTTGGGAAGTTTTCAATCATTATATCTTCTAATACTTTTTCTGTTCATTTCTTTCTCTTCTCTCCTGGTAATCCTATCTCACTCATATGTTAGTACACTTAAGGGTGTTTCACATTTCCCTAAGGCTATGTTCATTTTTCTTTATCCCTTTTTCTTTCTGTTCTTCAGATTATATAATCTCTATCAATCTATCTTCAAGTTTGATGATTCTTTTGCCAATTCAAATCTACTGTTGAACACCTCTAAGTGAATTTTTCATTTTGGTTATTGTACATTTAATTTTGGAATTTCCATTCAAAATAGTTTCTATCTCTTTATTAAATATTCTCTATTTGATGAGAAATTGTCACCATAGCTTCCTTTACTCCCCCACCCCTCACCAGAGGTAGAATTGCTGGATCATATAGTAATTTTATTTTTAATTTTTTGAGAAACTGCCATACTGTTTTCCATTTTATATTTCCACCAACAGTGTACAAGGGTTCCAATTTCTCCATAGTCTCACCAACACTTGTTATTTTCTGTTTTTTTTTTTTTTTTTTATAGCAGCCATTCTAATGGGTGAGATGGACTATCTTATCTCATTGTAGTTTTGATTGCATTGCCTTAATGATTTAGTAATAAACATTTGTTCATGTACCTATTATCCATTTGTATAGATTTTTGGAGAAATGTCTATTTAAGTTATTTGCCCTTTTATTAATAGCACTGTTTTTCTTTTGTTGTTGTTGTTTTGGGTTTTAAGAGTTCTCTCTATATTATGGATGTGAATCCCTCATCAGATATATAATTTATAAATATTTTCTCCCATTCTGTGAGTTGCCTTCTTACTCTGTTGACATAGTCTTGTGATGCACAACATTTTAATATTTTCATGAAGTCTAATTTGTTGATTGTTTTCTCTTTTTTTTGCCTCTGCCTTTGGAGTCATATCCAAGAAATTATTGCCAAATTCAAATTCATGAAGTTTTTGCCCTGTGACTTCTTCTAAAAGTTTGATAGTTTTTGGTAGGTCTTTTGTCCATTTTGATTTTTTTTTTTTTTTTTTGTATTTGGCACTACAAAAGAATCTCTTTTGCATGTGGATATCTAATTTTCCCAGCATGATTTATTGAAAAATAACTGTCCCTTCCTAAATAAATAGTGTAATTTCTCTTGACAAAAATCACTTGATATGAGGGTTTACTTCTGGGCTTTTCATTCTATTCCATTGGTCTATGTGTCTGTCTTTATGCCAGTACCACACTGTTTTGATTACTATAGCTTTGTAGTAAGTTTTGAAAACAGGAAGTGTGAGTCCTTCAGCTTTGTTATTTTTCAAAGCTGTTTTGACTACTCAAGGTCCCTTGAGATTCCATACGAATCTTAGGATGGATGTTTCTATTTCTGCAAAAACATCATTGGGATTTTGATAGGGGTTGCACTAAATATGTAGATCCTTTAGTTCTTTAAGCATGAATTCCTTTAATTCTTTGAATATAGTTACAGTGGATGCTTGAAATCTTCATTGGCTAAATATGACTTGAGGCCTTTGGCTGGCAGTTTCTCTTGCCTGTGTTCCCCCTTCATGTGTGCATACTTTCTTGTTCCTTTGCATGACTCTTAATTTTTTTGTTGAAACTTTATATTTTTGGTAATATATGGTAGCCACTCTAGATATCGATCTTCCACCCCTCTTTGTAGCTTGCTTTTGTTATTTTTTACTTCTTTACTACTGACTTGGCTAGACTATTTAATTTAGTCTATTATCCCACAGCATGAAGCCTCTGTCTTTCCTTAGAGACTGTAGCCTTGCATATGTGCACATTCACCCTGGGATAACAGTGGTTTTAGCAGAGCCATTTGACTGTCGCTTTTCCTGATCTATTTGTAAAAGTATCTACTTCTGCTGGTATCACACCCAGTGTTAGGCTCCACACATTGTCATCTGATTGCTTTATTGTTTTTGATCATGTGCTGGAGAATACATTGCACCACAGTCTGATCCAATTACATTTGGGCAGGAGTATTTTTGAGGCCAGTCTTTGAGGTTTGTTTTGACCTCAGGAGAATTCTCCTTAGCTGTCTTTTTCCATGGTGTTCTGCTGTTGTTGGGTGAAGGGTTTTATAAATATCAATTAATTGGGATGAAAGTATTGTTCAAGTCTCCTATATTCTTACTAATTTTCTGTTTACTTATTTTTCAACTACTGACACAGGGATGTTGAAATCTTTGGCTGCAATTACAGATTTGTCTGTTCCTCCTTTCAGTTCTGTCAGGTCTTGCTTTATGTATTTTGAGGCTCTGTCATTAGATATATAAGCTTTTAGGACTGTTACGTTATCCTGATGAATTGACATCTTTGTCATTTTCAACTAACCCTCTTTATCCCTGTTAATATTTTTGCTCTAATATCTACTTTGCTATTAATATAGAGTTGGATCTTTAATTTTTTTTTTTTTTTGAGATGGAGTCTTGCTATGTCGCCAGGCTGGAGTGCAGTGGTGAGATCTCAGCTCACTGCAACCTCCACCCTGGGTTCAAGCGATTCTCCCATCTCAGCCTCCCGAGTAGCTGGGATGACAGGCACGCACCATCATGCCCAGCTAATTTTTGTATTTTTAGTAAAGACGGGGTTTCACCATGTTGGCCAGGATGGTCTCGATTTCCTGACCTCATGATCCGCCCTCCTTTGCCTCCCAAAGTGCTGGGATTACAGGCGTGAGCCACCGTGACTGGCCGGATCTTTAAAAAATTAATCAGACAATCTCTGTCCTTTAATTTAGATGCTTACACAAATTACATTAAAAATGTCCAGGGATATAGTTGGATTTAAATATTTCATCTTGCTGTTTGTTTTCTATTGTTCCATCTGTTATTTGTTCCCCTTTTAATCTACCTTTAATTAATATAATACCACCTCACCTATAGTATATAAATGTTGCAACAGTGCACTTTCACTTCGCCTCTTCTGGGTTTTGAGCTATTGTTGTTATATATTGTAATTCCACATCTGTTAAAATGCTATAATACCTTATTACTTTTGCTTCCAATAGTTATATATTCCTTCCTTTAAAAAATTTATTAGCTTCTTATTGGCCACATCCAAGTTATGTTTTAAAAGGTTTAAAAATTAGAGTAAAAATATTTTATATTTATTCACCTATTTACCATTTCTAGAGCTCTTTATTGCCTGGTATAGATAGGTATTTCCTTCTGATAACATTTTTCTTCCACCTGAAGGACTTCTTTTTAATATTCTTATAGATCTGGTCTGTTGGTAATAAAGTCTTTCAAATTTTTTATGTCTGAAAATATTTTTATTTAACTTTGGTTTTGAGAGGTATTTTGCTCAGTATAGAATTCTGACAGCTGAATTTTCCTTTTAGCATTTTGAAGATACTGCACCACTGTCTTCTGGCTTGCATTGTTTCTGACAATGACTGCCGTCATTCTTATGTTTGTTCTTCTGTATCTAACGTGTCTTTTTCTATGATTGCTTTTAAGATGTTCTCTTTACCACTGATTAAAGCAATCATATTATAATTTGCCTTGGTGTCGCTGTCTTCATGCTCTTCTGCTTGGGCTTTGTTGAGATTCTTGGATCTATGATTTCGTAGGTTTTTTTTTAAGTTTGGAAAAATTTTAATCATTTTTTTCCCCATTTTTTTTTTCTGTCCATTGCTTCTTTTCCTGAGATTCTAGTTGTACATATATTAGGCTACTTGAAGTCCCAAAGCTCACTGATACTTTATTTATATTTTTTTCTATTTTATTTTAGTTAATGTATATTGCTATGGTATCAAGTTTACTAATATTTTCTGCTGCAGGTTCTAGTCTGCTATTAATGTCATCTAATACATTTGAAATTTGTTTTAAATTTTGAAATAATTTTAGATTGGCAGAAGAGTTCTAAAGATAGGATGTAGATTTCCTGTATAACTTTCAACCAGCTTCTCCTAATGTGGACATCTTATATAGCCATGAAATGTTTATCAAAACTCAGAAATTAGCAGCGGCACAACTAAACATAATTGGCACTATTAATTAAACTATAGGCTTATTCAAATTTTCCCAGTTTTCCCACAAACATCCTTTTTCTGTTCCTGGATCCAATCCAGGATATCATGTTCATTCATCCATTTGATTTTTTTAATTTCAAAAATCGTATTTTTTTATTTTTAAAAGTTTTGAGTCTTTTAAAATCCTCTGTGTCTTTCTTTAATATATGAGGCTTGCTTTTAACAATATACCATGTCTTGTGTATATATATATACATACACACTTTCTCTCTCTATATATATATATATTTATACACATACACACACTATATATTTATATATATAGAGAGAGATGGA